CAAAACCAAGGAGCTGGTGGTGGATTTCAGGAGAGAGAGGAGAGAACACACCCCCATCACCATCAACGGGACACCAGTGGAGAGAGTCAGCACTTTTAAGTTTCTTGGAGTCCACATTGCTGAGGATTTGACATGGACTACTCGCACAGACACAGTGCTGAGGAAGGCACAACAACGCTTCTTCTTCCTCAGGCGTCTCAGGAGGTTTGGAATGAGCCCCCACATACTCCGCTCGTTCTACACCTGCACTTTGGAGAGCATCCTGTCTGGCTGTATCACCACCTGGTATGGAAAATATCACCAGCAGCAATCGCAAAGGCCTACACAGGATTGGTAGGAGGTGAGCTTCCCTCCCTCTAGGACCTTTACACCAGGCAGTGCATAAGAAAAGCCAAGAGAATTATCAGCGACTCCAGCCACCCAAGCCATAGACTTTTCTCTCTGCTACCCTTAGGCAGACGATTCCGCAGCATTCGGTCACGCACTAGCCGGCTGAAGGAAAGCTTCTTCCCTCAGACTATCAGGCTGATGAACATTTAACACACCCCATACAGACTCTTCTATACCCCTCACTGCACACCATCAATATGCATGCACTGCACCTTAACCAATCGATACTTGAAACAATACTGCCTACAACTATGTGGACACCTATTCATTGTACATAATGCTGTCAGTTTTTTTGGGGATTATGCTGTTGTATTTTGCACTGTCTGTATTTTGCACTCTCATTTTATTTGCACTGCCTGTATTTTGCACTGTATTTCTGTATTTGGTACTGTCTGGAGCTGGATTCTAAGCTTTTCACTCATCATAGCACACGTGCTGTTGATGATGTGACAATAAAAGTGATTTGACTTGATTTGGGTACATGACACAGTACACAGTGAACAGGAAGATGACCAGACAAGGAACCAGAAGACATCACAACTAGGTGAGACACAAAGACACTGGCTGGACGCATATCGTTTATGGGCAGCCGAATGTTTTGGCAAACTGTAAACTCCAGGGTTCGAGAACAAAGAAGAGCTGCTGAAGTTTTGTGTCTTATTATGGCCCATTGAAGATGATTGTCCCACACCCCCTTACTCTCCCGGAACAAATAGTCAACTACAGGGACGTCAGATGGTTTTTGAACCAGGAAAATAGTGGCGGCTGGTAACAGAGTATGCTTTGGTAGGGTGTGAGTCCAGTGGCGGGTTGGCAAAGAGAGTTCTGAGCATACCATAGTTCTGGTGGCTGTGGCAGAAGGTTCGGAGGAATTGCCACATTTACTGCATCTTTCTTTCTTTCACTCCGTCTGTTTATTTAAGGATGTTATCCTGAGGTTACATCTAGGCACAATAGATAAACCAATGACCTCTATTTGAAATTATATTTTTAGGTAATCCAAAGTATCGACATACATGATTGAACATTGCAGCACCCCTGCACGAACCTTCTCATGCCGTGTGGCATTCCTGGCTTTCAGTAGTGATCTTTGAGCAGAAACAGGGTTTCATTAGCCACTGGGAGACTGATTATAGATACGCTGATGGCTTGTGTGAAGGCGTTCAACAGACTTTGGAAGACTGTTGAAGTGGCTTAGTTCCAGGTAAGGGATTTTGATTTTCCTCTGAGGAGACTGGTAAGATTACTGGGAATGGTTCTATAGTGTTCTAAAAACAGTTGATAAAAATTCCCAAACCCTAGAAATCTCTGGAGCTTCTCTACTGTGGTAGGTTGGGGCCAGGGGATTTTTTCCTTGTCCATCTTTACTTTGTTCATCGATCACAGAGCCGGGTGAAGTCCTCCACAACATGGTGGTAATTTTAAGCGAGTAGATTAAGAAGAAAATTCAAATACCTTCAATATAGACATTGACAGTTTGTACGGGAACTGCTACAGCACCTTAAGTCCTGGAAGACAGAGGGGGCATTAGCTAATTCATAGGGCAATTACAAGAAGCCTGCAATAATCATAGAGCTCTTTTATACATGTTTTAAGAAGTCCTTTGTCATTTGTGTGGAGACACAGATTGGAGGATACATGGGGTGCAAACTTTGTCACATTTTGTCAAAAAATAAAAACGCGGGTACAGAAACAGTGTTTTCCCTGGTGTCGGGGACCTTTTGTGAGGATTTCGGGGGTGTAAATGGATTTAACTATTGGTCTTTCATCTATTCATCTATTCTTTACTGACTGACCAATTACAAACAGGGGTGAGACATCTGGTGGAACTAATGAACATGAACACACAGCGGGGAAACAGAACAAAGATGTCACATGACAAACACAAGCACATGGAAAACAGCACATGACACAATACAGATGCATCACACAGTGACATTAACCCCTTCCACTTTTGAAGGCTTGACTACATGGAGGATGCGGGCAGGGAGGAGACGCAGGAAGGAGAAGCGAGGAAGGGAGCTGGAGCAATAAGACCCAGGACACAGCCAGGAGGATGGCCTAGACTGGAGTCAAGGAATGGAGGAATTATAGAGGAAGAGTAGTCACTGACTCCAGGGATGCTGACGTGAGTCCGGAAGTCAGCGGTGAAGTGACAGAGAACCAAGGTGTAGCTGAAGGGAGAAAGGAGCTCAACACAGCCAGCAGGACAGAGAGACAAAGAATAGCAGCCAGAGGAGTGGAGGCCAGAGGCGTAGACAGGGCGATGACTGCATCTAGGGGTCCAGGATTAGGTCACTCTCAGGTGTAAGGAGGTAGGCAGGACTCTCGCTCAGTCCCTCGATGTCTGTTTGGACTCCCACTTTAGGAAATGTTGCCAGCTCACACACCTGGTCAGATGATCTGTTGAGCTTCTCCTCGGTGGTGGTTCTTCACTCTGTTGCTTATAGTTGCGATGGCTTGTACACCGCAGGTGGCTCTCTGTCTGTGATGGGCTCTGGTAAGCGGTCTCTGCTGACAGGTGATGTTGAGTTGGTCTTTGAGTCTAGAGTGGCACTGTCAAGGTTTTCCCTTCGCATGGACGATCAACGTTGATCCATTTCTTACTAGTGTCCACTCCACATAGGTGGCGAAATTGCCTTGAGGACCATCTTCGGATGACAGTGCTCTTCAGGCGGTGTGCAAGCTGGTGTTGTAAAACTTGCAGAGCACATCATCTGTATAGCTGGTGTTGTTAGCCATAGACAGGTACAGTCTTATATGGTCCCCCAGACTATTTAACCAATTAACCTGATTACTAGCCCTTAATTGCTTTTGTCCCAACTTTTTTTGCAATTTGTGGCAGGTCTGAATGACAGAAAAGGATGTATATTTACAAATAAAGTGAAGTTGACCAGACAAAACAAAATATTTTGTGTTCATGTTGTCTGCAATGAAATGCATGTTAAAGTAAATTTGTAAGTAAACTTTCATTTTTTTATTTACATTTTCCATTTATTTGCACTGTCCCAACTTTTCCTGATTTGGGGTTGTATAACAAACTATTAATTAACTGCTGACTCCTGTTTTACCAATAATATTACTTATTTGGATATTGTTTAAAAAATATATGTTTTTGTTTTTATAAGTCAGATTGTTTCATTAATTTATTTGACCTTTTATTAGAAATTACATTTCATAAAATTAAAAAGTCTGATATTGAAGGATTTTTTTGTACAATGACAAAAAAAAAAAAAGTAATTTTTGGTCTCGGGTTCACAGATTAGTTTATTTAGAATTTTCATGATTAAATCAACTCTTTTAATTTAAGTGCGTCTCTACATCTGTCATGGTTTAGCTCTCTTCACAAATGCACAGGATCGGAGGAGTTATCAAAAATGCATATTTATTCATAACACACAAGAGACACTGAAACAAACACACGCAGAAAGCATTAAGGGTGAGGATAGTTCAATACCAGACAAAGGAACTAAGCAAACTCAGGGGTACAAATACATGGATATGATTAACTCTGATAACACAAAGGGGAGGAACACATGTGAAACTCAAGAAACTGACTAGTGGTGGGAAAACAGAACAAAGAAGCACATGATCACAACAGAAACACATGGAATAACAAACTGGGATGTCACATAACACAACAAACACAGGAACAGAAAATGACTACATCAGACATTTTAAACTGTAAATCAGAAAAAAACTTCTAGGACAACGGTCTGAGTAACAATATTTAATCTTTGAGAAACAGATGCACAATTAAATTACTTGATTAAAAGTTTTTAGCTTTATGTATATTCAATTATATTTAGTTACGTTACTTAAGAAAACAGTTTAAGATTTTTTTATGTTTTACACTATTATTAACTCTATTCAAGAGAATGATGTTGTCAATATTATTGAAATATCCAGTGATAGAGGGTTGATAATGTTCATGAGATCTTTTGGAGGTGGTTGTGCTTTGAATGTGAGCACACAGAAATCAATCCATGATTGCTGAATTGAATGGCCTTCTTGTCTTGTGGTTAAATGTTTGGGAATGTTTACAAATGATAAACTGACAGTGGGAGTTTCGACTAGCTATGGTTGTGTATTTTGAAAGAAAGAAGAGAGAAGAGACAGTAGTGTTTTGCTATTTGTATAATAAACTTGAATTTTTTTTTTACGTGCACACACATGGAGACCATTATATGTGGATAATTTTTTTTTTAATCAAATTAATCAAGTAATGTAGTGATTGATTAATCAAATTAAAATATTAATCAAGATTAATTCAATTAAAAAGCTCTTTAGAAACTTTGGTACTTGAATATTGACAGACTGGTTATAAATGCATTTTATTTGTTTTGGTTTGTTTTGGTTATTGGCAATAATATACATATTCCATAAATCACATTTATATTTAAGATTTCCCTATATACACTTTATTTAATCTTTTTTATTTTCGGTACTTTTATATGATCGAAAGAATGTGAATTTACGCTGTAACAGCAATTGCTTTTTATGAACTCTGCATTATTACATTGGTTGAAAGCGAATCTAAATTTTTCTTTACAGAGTTGTTTTCCCAAATTCTGTGTTGATCAATACAAAAACATCTCCTTCACTTTCAGAGAGAACAGGATATGAGAATGAATGAAATGGGAACACGTGGAGCCATTAATATAGGAGGTATGACTGTAATAAAAATGGTTTTAATAATGTTATTTATTTATTTATTTATTTTTATTATTTCATTTGTTTGGGCCAGTACATCACTTGCATATGCATTTAAGTGGAGTCGATGCTGTTTTACACATTTTCTTTAATATTTTCATCATCATTACAATTAAATACACAGATTATGATGTATTTCTGAAGGATTCTGAAAACAATTCTCGAAAATGCGTCCTCTTGTTCTTTGGACTATTATGTGGACAATTATAATTTACCCGAATAAGTTTACAATATTACTTAACTTTTTTATATATATATATATATATATATATATATATATATATATATATATATATATATATATATATATATATATATATATATATCTGTTTGCTTATTGAAAATAAAATTAGAATTAAATTAATGATGGAAATAATTTCTTCCATGCTGTGGTGAATAACAAGGACTGTCATAATCATTCAATGTAAATGAATTTTACACTCCAGATAGTTGCTGATTCATTCCTCTCTTAATGAACGTTAAACATTACCCAAAAGAAATTGTGCAAAGAGGAATACAGAGAATTGATATTGTCAACTATCTATATATAATAAACACAATGCTATTTTTATTTTTTTTTGCTTTTGAAAAACACTTGTATTAAACAGTTATAATCTGTAGTTCAGTTCATATATTCTTGCATTGTATCTTTTTATTTTCTTTCGTATTCATTTAGTTGTTGTTTTTTTGTTTTTTTACTTCAGCCTCACATGTTCTTCACTTCACTGCATTGTGTTTGGTGTGAAAGGGCATCTACATTACACTACATTATGTGCTGTTTTAAAAGAAATTTTGCTTGCTGCATGTTCACTATAGATTTCTATGATTGTTGAATGAATTTGTTCTGTTTTGTATATAATTGTTTTAGTCATCACTGTCCACTGTTGTACTGTTTCGGTGGGTTACAGGAACACAAATTTTTATCATGACATGGGTTTGACCTAGGAATTAAAATGTTTAGGTGGTTTATGTTTGCATGTCTTGTGCCAAACACTTAAAAATCATAATTAGCCAGGTTTCATGTGAGGGCTGGGTTTAGGAGTAGTGTTGTATTTACAGTTTAAAATACATTATGCCAAAAGAGAGTCCTCATAAGCCACCAAAATGTGTGTCTTTGTTGTTTTGTTTGTTTCACACATCATTGGCTCATGTATGTAGTAAATTCGATATAGTTTCAACACATCTCTCAGTTACTGTGTGAATGCCATCTACGTTGTCTTTTGTAGATTCATTTAACCCTGTGACAGCAATTAGTGGTAACCAAGGCCCCACACAAATGATGGGCATGGGAGGCAGAGTTGGAGCCATGGGGCCGGATGGATCATCGAAAATGATTCCAGATAATGGAGTGATGGTAATGTATTCAAATAATTACACAGTTTGATATACACACACACATATATATATATATATATATATATATATATATATATATATATATATATATATATATATATATATATATATATATATATATATATACATACATACATGCATAAATACATATATACATATACAATTGAAGTCAGAATTATTAGCCGCACTGTTTATTTTTCCCCCTATTTCTGTTTAACGGAGAGACTTTTTCAACACATTTCTAAACATAATAGTTTTAATAACTCATTTCTAATAACTGATTAATTTTGTCTTTGCCATGATTATAGTAAATAATATTTTACTAGATATTTTTCAAGGTGTTTCTATACAGCTTAAAGTGACATTTAAGGCTTAACTAGGTTAATTAGGTGAAGTTAATTACTAGGTTAGGCTAGGAAGGTTAAGGTAATTAGGCAAGTTAATGTAAAAGGATGGTTTGTTCTGTAGACTATCGAAAAAAATTACCTTAAAAGGGGCAAATAATTTTGACCTTAAAATGGTTCTTAAAAAATTAAAAACTGCTTTTATTCTATCCGAAATAAACAATTAAGACTTTCTCCTGAAAACTTGCTCTGTCATACATCATTTGGGAAATATTTAGAAAAGAAAAAAAATTAATTTTATTATTCTAATAATTCTGACTTCAACTGTGTGTGTGTGTGTATATATATATATACACACACACACACACACACATAATTTCTTGGTATATCACGTAAAAAAGCAAATTTTTAGAAAGTTTGCATTTTGGAGAGAGTTCACATGGATATATTGTGCTCATGTACTTATTCCAAAAAAATGACCTAATGCCTAATATATGACAATAGGACATGCAATGCTAACGAAACATTTCTAGAAAGGAAAAAAAAGCAAAAGCAGCAGATTACAAAATTAAAGCAAGAGTTTCATTTTCCAAGCTGTATTCTTTAATAGATTTTTCAGTGTGCATTTTATATTGCAGTTGTTTTGTTTTTAATTAAGGTATATTCCTCTGGGATTTTGATTAGATTTTTTGATGTTATTGTTCTTGTGTAGATAATACAGGATTTGCTTTTCTTTATATACATGTGCTAATTATGTTTTTTTTTCTTCTTTTTCTTCTTCTGGGTGTTCCTGATCTTCACTTCTTGTCTTACTTATGTGTTAAACCTTCTGGGGAAAAAACAAAACATATTTGTTAATATTTCGGACTTATTGTTTTACAACAACTTAACTACTTCATGGTCGATTTAAAATTACAACATATTCCAAATGCTTGCCACAATGTACCAATTTATGTTTACACTTGATTACAGCCTAATGAGCGATTTTCTGAAGGAGGACCCCTTCAAATGGGTTCTCCTGTTGGTGGGCAGACTGGTGTTGACTCCCCTCAGCCACAGCAACACTCACCCATGCTGGTTGGGGCAGGTTCTGTTCCTGGTGTGCTTGGCCAAAGTGGCTTTGGGAGAGGAAGTCCAGTTGGGGGCAGCTTTGATGGGCCTAACAACAAACGACGTAGATATTAAAAAAATAAATAAATCTTTAGTAATTGTGCTCAGATTGGATTATTCTGACTCATGATTACTTATATATAATCATATATTACCTTTCAGTCATTTTGACAAGTACATTTATGTATAATATAGACATAAATTGAATGAGCCAGACCTTGTGTAAATGTGAAGCACTGTTACAAATGATTAAAAGCCATTGAATTAGCTTGTACTTTGCAAAATATTGTAGCTAATTGTAGATTGCTTACTATTACTGTATTCATGTCTTTTATTTAAATATCTGAAACTAAGCAATGTTTTCCTGTGAATGAGTGTTTTTTTGGAAATTGCATGTTTTCATTTTTATTCTATTATTATCATTTTCATCTGTATGTTCAGAGTTGGATTTTTTAATCAGTCCTTTGAATAAAAGTGTGAATATTAGTGACACATAATTACTTGCAGTAGTAATTAAATTTGATTTAAATAAGAATTCCCTCCTGTTACTTTTGAGTAATGTCATTCTTGTTGCAGATGACTGGTAAAAGGCAAGTACAAAGTGTTTAATGTGCTTATTATATATAAGCATTATATATAAGCATTACATATAAGCATTACATATATATATATATATATATATATATATATATATATATATATATATATATATATATATATAGGCATATCAGGTCTATAGCCAGCCTGGTGAAAGGGGTGGTTCTTTTTCTCCAAAGTTGGGACCTTTTTGCAGTTAATCTCTTTATTTCATATTTAATTATGAAGTTTAAATACTACATTTTAGTGAAACTTCAAACAGATTTTTGCTGGATTAGCTTTTAAGCTGATATCATTATATACATGCTTTTGATGCACCAAATGTACTATTATGTCATAGTAAATGGTAAAGAGTATAAATACTATTTTGTCAGATTGCTATTTCACTGTATTATTTGCTTCTATATTACCCCCAAAGATACCCCTAAAATCAGAAGCTTGGGTTTGACTTTTTTGTACTGATCAGCTCTGCCCAGGGGCGGACTGGCCATCTGGCAATTCTGGCAAATGCCAGAAGGGCCGGACCAATTTTTAAATGTGGGCCGGTCAGTTTTTCAAATTATTTTTTTTATTGTTTTTACGTGCAGGCAGCTTTTATCTCTTGCTAGATGTGATATTATGATGATGATAAATAAAAAACATAAATAATAAAAATAAATAAATAAATAAAAAAGAATAATAATAATAATAAATGTTAAGCATTTGGCCCAATCGGCGACGGCCGCCTAATTTCAAGATGGGATGACCCAATCTGAGGTTACCCGGACGTAATCAAAATCTGGCAAGAATGTCATATTATTTCACCATCTGTACACCAAAATAAATGGTGAATGTGCGTGTCCGTGGGTGGGGCTGTGTCGGTGTGGTAATGTGGGCTGATGTGATTAAAGTGCCAGGGCTGAATTTTTGTCCCAGTCTGCCCCTGGCTCTGCCACTAGTATCAGTGATTTAAGGGGCAATTCACATATTGTGTGTGGAAAGCGTGATATGTGTCACTTTTTTTCACCAATTAAAATTCACCTTGTGCAATGATTTATAATTTTTTCCATAAATAAAACTTATATGTGCAAAAAATTTATATTTATTGTCCCCTAAGGGGAACAATTTTTTGTGGACTCATAAGTAAACTTTAAAAAATAAATTGAACACTTAAACAACAAAATGTAGCTCCAAGCGTTTATACTCCCTTAATTTTATTTTTAGCAGTATATTTCAGCATCGCCTGATACTATAAAGAAATTAAAAAACACAAAAAACACATACATAGATATTGGTGACACTGGAATAAAGGAGTTTTTGAGCCTATTCCACTTGCATCATGGAATTCTGTATCTTCTGCCAGAGGGTAGGATATTATAACATGGGTACAGTACATGAGATGGATTGCTCAGCATTCTTATCTTGTCAAAGTGCATTGCTGGTATAGAGTCTGAGTGCTGGTTTAGGTTTTTAGTCCTATAAGTTTCATAGCAATTTAAAACAAATTTATTTCAAATTTACAGAAGGATTACTCTACCATGTGAATAAACCATAAACCTTATATCCAGAGATGGGAAGTAACAAAATACTTATGTAGACTTTTCTGGTATCAGTACGTTACTCCACTATTTATTTATTTTTTCTGAGAACTTTTTACTTTTATTTATTACATTTTTACCCAAATATCTGTACTTTGTAAATATTACATTTTTTAACCAGGCTGGTTACTTTCGTTTTAGTCAGTTTAGTTTTGTGATCTATATTATTTCTTGTCATTGCGCAGTTTGAACTTTTTTTGATTAAGTTTTTTTTTTTTTTTCACTGTGCGCAAGAGCACAGCTTTTTCAACTCATATTGATCACGTACTGTATAATGTGGATGAGACTGAGGGAGGAGCTAATAATATGTCAAAACAATCAAAATTTGAATTGTGTTCATTTGAATTATTAAAAATTGTAATTTAATAAATCAGAAATATTTATGCTGTTGAAAAAATTGTTTTGAATTTTCTATCCATCAGGTGAAATAACTAGGATGGCTTGTATATACATGAAATGTACATACAAGCCATGCAGACAAATCTCTCCATACCTCACTCTTAACTTCTTTATTGGGAGCTGTCCTAACTATCTCTCAGTAAAACAGTTCATAACTGCCAATGTGGGGAAAGCAGAACATGTGCATTTTTTTCTCCCCATGCATCTTGAATCACTGTGTGATAAAGGACTAGTATTGAAAGAAATCAATTATTTTATGTATTTGGCATTTTAGAGCTGAAAAAAGGTCCAAGTTACATTTTCCAAGTCACATACATTTTTTTTGTAACCCGATTAGACAGGATTTTTCTGCTGGAGGAGAAAGGTGGAGGGGAGGAGAAGGCCAGATGTCCTCATCTGGACAACAGACATCCTGAGGTGGACAGGGTGAAGTGATTTGAGGTTGAATAGAAAATGGGGGTTGAGGTGAACTGATGTTTCCTGATTTTTTTTTTTAAAGTATTCTTGGCCTCTCCTCATGGTGGAGTTTCAAATGATCAATGCTGACCTTTTGTGTGGACTGTCCTATAGAGTTGACAAGATCCCCCTTTTTGTCATCTATTTTGGTCACTTGATCCTGAATTTGGTCACTTAATTCAGGATCAAGTTTTCCTCCCTTTCGTTGTTCACTGCGAACACTTCTTCTCCATACCCTGTCCCCCTCCTCAAGGCTTTGGCATTGCCTTTTTGAAAGTCGTCGTCTTGTTCTTTCATGGGTTTTTTCTGGTGTTTTTCTCCACTAGACCCAGAATCTTCTCATGGCGCCTCATAGATATATACATTAGATGTCGCCTACCCTGTTTTTGTCTTTTAGAAGGAATGCGTCAATAGAGCCGCCATTTTAGTACAGGGTAGCGCTCCTTTGAAATTAATGCAGGACCAAGGTGCAGTGGAGGACTGTGGTCATCCAAAGCAGAGATATACACATTCATACATATATTTATGATTCGGAGTTTTCCCGCTGTTCAGTATGCATTTTTTTTTTTTTAATGAAAATTATAACTTTACATTATTTTTCTACATTGATGGATAAGTGATCGCACCGGTATTACTGATAAAAAGCTCATGTTTGTGTGTATGGAAATGAACTATCCACCCTCCTTGTTACATTTGATCTAATCATGTCCTGAAACACCTCCTCACCTGCTTTAAGTTTTCATACTGACGGAGGGAGCGATTCGTTTGTGAATGAATCTCTGTTATGAACGACTTCTTCACTAGCTGACAATAATATAAGTTTCTGTTTGTTTGCTGATTTTATTTAACAAAACATTAAGCCGAGTGTTGAGTGTGAGCTAGTGCTGCTTTGCCCTATTATCGTATTATCATATCGTATTCGTATTATCATCTTTAACGTTACCTGTTTAGCACAAAAGTTCATAACATACAAAATCGTATAAAAATAAATCTTACCTATGAAATGTTTTGCCTTTGTGCTTTGTTTTCTTTGTTTGCTCGTTATTACACCCTTAGACAGTGCTAAAGTCCAGCATCTTCACGTAATAACACTGTCTTGACTAGTGCGGTTGAATGACACTTATCCTGGGAGCACTGTACAAATGTGGCGGCGCTATTGAAACATGCTCAGGGTCTCTATGCGATATCTAGTGTATATATCTATAATGGCGCCTGATGTCAATAGCCACCTCTTCCTCACAACACACTGCTTCAAATAAAGAATTAACCTTTGGCAACATGTTAATGAGAAATGTTTTATCTTCATTTCCATCTGTAAAATACAGCTTTACAATTATATACCTGGCACTTTTCATAAAATTCTAAATAAATATTTTTCACTTAATAGTTTTCTGGTAGAAAGAAGGGTATCTTGCTTTTCTCCCAAACATAAAAAAGGAGAAAACCTTATGGTTTTTCAGCCTGAACTCAGCCTGAAAATGTAAGTATTTTACCTTTTGCCAGTTTATTGGCTAATTCGAGTTCAGTCGTACAAAAATGTATGATTTTAAAAAGGAGGCGTGGCACCTAACCCCACCCCTAAACCCAACTGTCATTGGGGGATGAGCAAATATTACTAAATTGTATGAATTAGATCATACAAATTCATACGAATTAACCACTAAATTAAAAAGTTACAAATTGTTGTGAGATTGTGTTGGGTTTTTTGGTCCACACACCAAACATGGCTGCATCTAAATATTGGTCCCAGTTGCTGGGTTTGTCCTCCACTAGCTTTGCAAGTATACTAATAACATTAAAACATAAAAGGTAAATACATAAAATGAAAATGTAATTAGTAAAATGAATTAAATGTTTGTACTTTTATACACATAAGTCTGTACATGAAATGTTTCTGCACAAACAAGTGATGCATGTGTTGTGTTTTGGATGTGTTAATTGCATTTGTTACCTTTGAATTGTACCATTGAGCCTTTCCATCCGCCAATTGGTCTAAGGGTGGTTAACAGTTTAAATAAACCAGTTTATTAGTATTGTAATTTTTAAATATTAGCCCCCAACGCCCACAAAAATATTTTTATAATTTCTTTTCAACAAAAAGATTGTCATTATTAAACAGTTTGCCATGATGACAGCACATAATATTTGACAAAATTCTCAAGACTATTCATATTAAAATGTACAATTTGAAGACATTACTGGGTTAATTAAGGTAACTAGTCAGGTCATTGGATAACAGTGATTTGTTCCATAGAATACATTTACATGAATGAAATGCTGTAAAAAAAAAATCCTTGTGCGGAAAAAAAAACAGAGGGCAAAAAATTTTGACTTCTACTTCAACAATTGCATCTGCATTTTAAGGATTTTTTGTAAAAAGGATACAAATGCTTGACAAACTTCCTTCCTTGTTTTCTGTTAAGATCCGTTTGGGGACTTAAAACTGATGAATACATTTGAAAATAGATTGTGTTTCTTCTGCAGCAGATTTAGTTTTGAGCGGATATACCTGTGCCCTTTTTGTACAATAGTCTATAATGACTAAATTTTACTGATTTTACTGCTCAGTTTTTACCAGCTTCCCTATCAAATCAACTCCAACAAGCTCAAATTGAATCTTGGTCTGTCAAACCAGACAAAAACAGAAGGTTAGCATTGACTATTTAGACAGTAATAATATATTTTGTTAGAGGTATGCAAAATATATGCATAGTTCACCCAAAAATGAGAGTTACCTCACCATTTATTTCCAGTCAGTCAGTTAGTTTTTTTCTAAGGAATGCAAATGTGTTTTGAAAAAATGAAGGGTGTATAAAGTATGGCAGAATGTTCCTTTGGTGAAGCATCGCGTTAATACAAAGCTTACATTTGTAATGTTGTCAAAAGTTTAATTAAACAACGTTAGAACCACGGATGTGGTACCTTGATTGGTGCATAATCTGGTTCGTGTTTAAGATCTCTCCGGTTTTTCTGGCAAAAAGTGCACTGTGAAACCTCAAACAATGATTATGTAGATTAAGTTAAAAGTAATACAATTTTTTAATTTCATAAAGTCAGTGAACTGAAGTATTCATAAAGTGCATTAGCTTACCCATTACTCGTAGTCTTCTGACATGCCAGGCCAGTAAAATCTTTAAGAACTCGCATCTCTTACCCAAAATGTGCACCCTCGTTGCTTGCATGAAATTCTTTGAAAAGTTGGTCAGCCACTTCTGCGATACGCACAACTTTACATTTCGTCTTTGATGTTATATATAATGTCATCTGCAGAAAGTATATATTAAAAATATATCTAAACCCAGCTCTTACTCCTATACTGGAACAAAATGGTTTCTCAAATATACATGACCCTGGGCCAAACCAAAATATAAATTGTATGGATCCAAATGATAGATTCTTTTCTTTATGAGAAAAAGATTATTAGGAAAAGATCATCTTCCATTGAGATGTTTTGTACATTTGTAATTACACATGTAATATATGAAATCTGAATTTGCAGTATTATTTTAATAGTTGTCCTAATTGTCCTATCCTTTTACATGCAGCACACAATGCACACAGTTGTTTTATTTATCTATAAGTTATGCCAATTTCCTTACCAGTCATAGTGAAGTTTGATGCACTCCTCTTTAAGCTATATCACTGGTGTTTATTAGCATTTTTGGGGTATTCAACTAAAAGAAGGCAGGCCCTAAGCTCAGCTAGGAAATTACATTTACATTTTTCAGTGTAAAATACAAGGGATTTTATAGATACTTGTATTAAACAGACACAAGCTGATTGCATTAACTCGCAAATACTATGTGCGCGGGCACCCAGCGTGTTCATGCGAGAGCACACTATTTGCGTGTCCATTCTACATGTGGGAGCATTTTCAACATGTTTTTCAAGCCAGCGCCTCACAGAATACGATTGTCTCAGAATTTGGTGTAACACCAGAAATGTAAAACTTCCTTTTTGCACACGTAAATTAAAATTCATGAATGCAAAAATTATATTTTGTTTTCACAAAGCTGTTTATGTTTGTGCAAATCTTAAATTCACAGACTCGAGTTGAAAGCCATTAGTTTGTGGATGTAAAAATGCATATGCAACATTAATGGAGCGCGGATGACAGAGTGTGCATTCACAAATAATATGAGACAATAATCATCCCATAGTGAATGTCATAGACCTTCTTGGGAAAGGCTTGAGAGATAGTCTTATATTCAGGGCCGTTTTAAGATTTTTTTTAGATCACTTGGGATTAGGTCATAGGAGGATTTAATAAAATTTGGATGATTCTGTCCATGTCTGTGCTGAGGAGCTGACACACAGCAACAGCTTTGGTCTGGCAACTGATGCTCTGAGATGGATGGGTCACTTCCACAATATATGGTCACTTTCCAGGTTTTTTTTCCCCAAGCTAAATAGATATTCAGATCCCCAACCCAAGTGCATGAGAAGTACAGCAGGCGGCGGTAATACTCCCAAGGAGTGAATGGCCATTAAACGAAAAAGAAGAAGAGGTAGACATGTACTCCTTACTCCGTACCAGCCGGTGGCAGTAATGCACCAGTTTGGTGTTTTCCAATTGCCCCTCTACGAAAAAAGAAGAATGCGAAAGTGTTGCTCCGAATCGAAAGTGCTGCTTGCCAGCTGATACAATAATGGAAGGGAATCGCGATGAAGCTAAAAAATGTTTAAATATTGCAGTTAAAGCCATCGAAGACGGTAATAAAAACAAGGCTTTGAAATTTCTATACAAAGCAGAAAAACTGTATCCAACAGAGAAAGCAAAAGGTAAGGTATTTTCAATCGTCACACAAGCTAAGTTAGCTGATGATCTGACATAAACAGCATAGAACATAAATGTATACATTATCAACAGACTGTCTTTATCGATTAAGTTGTGTCAAATTTCATCAACTCGCCGGTAATTCATATGTTAGCAGAGGGTCAGGACAACACACACGCATTTCGTTGTGTTGTATATATATTATTTTTTTCGATGTTTGACCATGGTAGAATGGTATGGCATGGTAATCTACGCTTAAAATTTGTAAGGCAATGACAGCATGAAAGTAATAAAGGCTTCAGTAACTGACATGAAATACAATTAAAAATGAAAACACAATTTGTGTATTAATAATTATAAATTAAAATAAAGCATATAAATTATTATTTATTAAAATAGAGCAAACCAATTCAGTGCATTGATCATTTTGTTTTGGTGTGTATGGTGCAAACGTTTGATGCTAGTTTTGGTTGACCTCTGAGTATATAGTGTACTTTTGGTTGTTAGTGTTAATTTGATTAAAGAATGAATAATTCAATGCTGAATGATATTGGATAAAAATTTCCAATAAGACATTGCTCTAATTTATTTATCTGCTGTACAAATTATATTAAGTATATTTCCTCCAAATGAAATGACTAGCTCTATTCAGAAAGAATGTAGAATTTTAGATAGTTTGGGATGATTGTTTTTGTAGAGGAGTGCATCTGCATAATTTGATTAAAGAATGAATAATTCAATGAATAATTCAATGCTGAATGAGATTGGATAAAAAATTTCCAATAAGACATTGCTCTAATTTATTTATCTGCTGTACAAATTATATTAAGTATATTTCCTCCAAATGAAATGACTAGCTCTATTCAGAAAGAATGTAGAATTTTAGATAGTTTGGGATGATTGTTTTTGTAGAGGAGTGCATCTGCATAAAATATTATATATTTCACATCCTCTAAATGATTTAATTCACAATCTTTATATAAATTATTGTTCTTTTGGAATCTTTTTTTTTCTTTTCATTTTTAAATCTATTTTGAGGTTCTGTTTCCTAATACTCTAGCACTCAATTTATTTGTGAATGTTATGGTAAGAGACTGGCTTGGTTTCAGTTTCTTTTATTATTTGAAGCATGAGAGTGTTTAGAGGTCAAGGTGATGTCAGTACTGAACATCTCGAACAGCCTTTGCAATTCAAGGCCAAGGTGCTTGGTAGTCAGCTTTGCATTTAATTAAAGAATTACTAAAGTATTATGCCCCAGAGCAATTTTTGTGTCTAATTTATATGTTTTGTGGCAAGTAGCTCATGGTTCAGTCCTAAAGATTTTTTCTTCCTCCGTGGGGTTTAATGGCAACACCCCCCAGGTTACTACTCAAATTCCATGACTTTTCCAAGATTTTCAGGCAAATATTCATGACCTAATGTTTCATGTAATGTCTGTTTATACATAGTAAATAATAGGATAAATGAATGTTTAAATGTATCACAGCAGTGTATATAATATGGGACAATCTATATAGTTTATATTTATTTGTATCTCTAAAATAAATTTAGATAATGCTTATACACTGTTAGATACAATAATGTGAATGTATTTGATTGGCCAAGGACATTTGTACACAAACTATTAGAATAATGATTGAAAATTACATAAAATAAATGACAGAACTAAATGACAGGTATAACTACAATACTTTTATTTGACAAAACGGCAAATAAAACATGACTGATAAAACATTATGACATTAAAATTTAAAACTTAATCTAATGATAAATATAAGCAACTTATTTCTGAATAAATAAGCATTTTACATGTGACAAAACAGAAAGTATTATGAATACTCAATTTTAAGCTATTTTAGTTTTCTAAAAGGATTTAACAATTTAATAATGGCGAATCAATATGTTCACTGCCGTTTCCTGATATTATTATGACTAACAAATTTCACTTTACATCAATAATTTTTTTTTGAGCAAAGGTAAAAACCTGTCTTTTGTAAAAACTAGACTACTGAGTATTCAAGAGCTCCGCTAGATGGCGCCACTCACTCGTGAAAAGCTGTCTGCATTAACACGCATGGTAAGCATATTTGAAAACTGGTGCTTTTACATTACTTTGTTAAGCAGTAAAACAGAATCTGCATTGTGTCCTCTTTACCAGCTGTTTAAAGCGAGATTGGTTTCACTTTCTCTAGATTTATTTATTCTCTCAGATTTATGTATTTTACTTGCTCTATTTGCGAGTGTCTATAGTCTACTTAAACTTAATTATAATGTGTGCGTAATTATTGAAATAATTCTGACATCCTTTCAGAAATGGACAAACATAGGGCTGGACGATATGGCAAAATAAATTAGCCTGATATTTTTCATATCAGTCGATATCAATAGTTATTACGATAAATGTCAATATTTATATCTATCAATTTTAAAGGCTTTTCAGCATGCCAACTTCTTTTTGCAGCTGATTTAACACATTTTGTAAAAGGTTTTAGCTGTCTGACAATATATATATAAAAAAAAGACATTAGCCTACAAGTTAATGTAGAACAAAGTTAAACAGGTTTGGAATAAGTAAAAGGTGAGTTAATGGTGACAGAATTTTCAGTTTTGGAGGATCCTTTTAATGGTGAGTATGGTAACTTTAGAGTGTAGTGATAATTGGATTTATTAAATATTAAAATCAATATTTAGGTATTGATATTAAAATTAATATTTTATCCTCACTCGGGGCACCAAATAATGTAGAAATAACAGATAAATAACTGCTTTTAAATGGGGCACCAGACAGCTTTCCTATGTCAAAATAACAATAAAATATTATTAATTAAATTATACAAATGAGGAGTGTAATATCTGGCCAAATCTGAAGGATAATGAGATCGTTTGACTTGTAGAACCTTTTTCTGTATTATCAACCCAAGGAAAACACAATTGTAATAAATGTGTATTTATTAACAAAATAGTAATCAAGGGTAACTACAACTACTAAATGTACAATGAGTGAAGTGCATAGGTAAGTGATGAGGGTGATTAAGTTAGGGTAAGGTAAACCTTATTCTACAATAACAAAGAATTGAGGAAGGCTTTTTTTTAATAATGAATTTCAGTTATAAACATCTAATTAATTAGAATATTTTATACTGAAACACACTATGCCAAGGTCTAATTTAGAGGGTTGGAAAGTGGAGTATTTACATTTCTGCCTTTGATGGCTGTGGCTCGAAAAAGCTGGATCTTCTTGCAAACCTTGAAGCATGAAACTAACAGACTTGGCTCTCTTGAGCTTTGAGAAGAAGAAATCTGTAGTTTCTGGAACACGCAGACTGGAGATTTCTGTAGTTGGTGGTTCGATGTCGGGGACATGCCGACGTCTTTATCCTTGAGCATAGAAATCTGTATATTCTGGAACAAGCAGAAATTGGAGATCTCTGGAGGTGGTGGTTCGATGTCGGGGACACGCCGACGTCTTTTTCTTGTAGGTAGAGTTCTTGAAAACCTGGGACATGCAGATTTCTGGAGGTGGTGGTCTTGAAGCTATGGTTTCAGATGGCTTGGAAAAAGTACTGTGAATCCAATTACTAAATCCTTGCTGGAACACGCAGCAAAAGTTCTGATACCACTCTTTGTTACTACCACTCTTGCTCTGAACTGAACCACACTTCTGAACAGAACCCCTCTTCTAAACAGAACCACCCGAACTTAACCTCTCTTTAGGACAGAAGCCCCTCTACCACCATGAACCACCTTTTGGCCACTCTTTGACCACTATTTGACCACACTTTCTCTTTCTTTAAAAGAATGTCCGTTAATACTTTCTCTGGAATGCGGGATTAAACGGATATCACCTTTCAAATCCAACATTGTGATTGGATGATCCTGTGAGTTAGTCACTGGGAGGTGTCATCCCTAATGTGACCTGCATTTGGATAGTCATAGTCCACCTAGTTAACTATTATAATATTTAAGGGTCTTAAATATTTTCCTATGCATATTTCACTTTCCAAACCACATCTAATTTACCCAAGGCATTATTTACATTATATAGAGTCTAAACATCACTATGTAATGTTGGTCTTTACCCAAGCATTCATATATAAACCTTAATAAGCAAAGTTTCATACAGAGTAGTATTTAAAGCAGTGCATATTAAATATATACATGATCATTTGAATATACAGGTATATGAAGTGAAATATTTCATTTGTGAAATGTTAGTTTTCTGATCCATGTGTCTCCCTGTGTCTTGAGACGATGTCAAAAGTTGATTGGATTAAGAAGCAAGTTCTGGGCTCTTAACACCTTTGTCTTTTAGATAAACAAAAGACAGATGGTCAGTGTCTCAATTTCCACTTTCAGATGAGCTTAAGAAAAGGGTCGGAGTTTAGTGTTAACTCTGCAGCATTTGATTATATTGGAAATGAATTTCCACAAGTTAATTCCTTAAGTTCCTGGCTTTACCACTGATCATTACAAGAGTGAAATATTCCTTGGAAATATTTTATTTAGGGATGCTAACGATTTTTTGATGATTGATTGATTGTCAATAACACTTTAATTGATAGACATTATCGATGACTGAAGGATGGACATTTAAAGGTTAAGTTATGCTTTTTGCTGTGAGATGCGTCCACGACTTTATGCATTACATAATCAATAATTACAATATACATTTAAAATACATGAACATATAGAATATTGACATATATAAGGGCTGATTATTTTACCGTTGATGAGGGACAATTACAGATTTCAAAGAAAATATCTTAATATTAAAAAAGAAACATAAGCTTGACAAAAAAATTCTATCAATGTCATAACAAATGTCCAATAAATAAAGCAGCCTGCAGTTTAGTGCAAGCATCAAGTGTTCATCGAGATTGTGTGGTCTGTTAGCCTATAGTGTCTAATTATCGTTATCGAAATATTATTAATTATTATCATTGCCTTTTGGACTTATATGTGCTCTGAATGACGGAATTACTTTTTAACAAGATGTTAACCTTACATGTGCTGATAAAGAATAAAGATGAGAGGTTTGTACTGACTGTATATGTTTTGTATTGTTTATGAACCCCAAAAAAAAGGACTAAATGTATGTTTTGGGTATATTATGGAAATTTCAAATAAATTGTCTATTGATTAGTAAAAGTCTAAGTCCTGTAAGGTTTACTTCGAAAAAGATTTCATTCTTTGCAAAGAATAGATCCGACAGTCATACAGGAACACAGATTGCTACAGAGTGCGACAAACAGGCTAACTAGACACTAGAGCTGCACAATTAATCGAAAAAAGATCGCAATCTCGATTCGACCCCCTAGACGATCTTAACCCAGCATTTCTGAGATTCTGTCAATCATATTTTCAAGATCAGGAGAGAAGAAAAGGCGGCAGCATGAGTCTTTTCATTGCTTTACACACGTTGCTCAGTGACATGCACACCTCCAAATTATGTTAATAGAGTCACATGCTCAATTTATAAGGTATAATTCACCCAAAAATGTCATTTTTGTCTATACATAATGATGTATTCGCAGCCGGGAAATCACACGTGACGTGAGCTGCTGACTGTGCGGGTGATAGACACGCGCGTGTCTACTAGTGAACAGAACTCGCAAATGCTGAACTCACGTGAGTAACGGGTAATAAAGTTGTAAATAATATTCAGTTTGTGGCACAGAGTGGTCGTTTAAGAGCAGCGCGCAAAGTATGAACAGCACTTAGCCGTGAAAATAAAACCGAAAGCCTGCACATATTTTAAATAATCATATCGCATTTTAGAGCTATGACTGTGACAAGCATTTGAAATGTTTTTTCTTTCATGGCGAACAAACACAGAGTTGTGCATGAAAATAAATGTTTACAGTGTCAGTATAACTACTCGAGTTTGTTGTTATCTTAGAAACAAGATATATTACTTACACATTGTATATATATTATTTACATAATGCTTACAGCATATTATAACAGCTCGTCACCCAGTGACAAGCACAGTGATTCAGCAAAATTAACGTTAAAGTGAGCGGCGTTCATCTGACAGCTCCATTTGCGATAGCACCCTCCCAATAAATATTGGATAAGAAGAAGTGACCAAGCATCCAGCCCGAAATATACAATCTCAATGAAGCTCCTAGTGATTTTAGTAGAGAGAAGTTAAAGGTCTACAAGTCTTTGGATGCCAACAATGTTGTTCTTTGAGGTCATGTGCAATAAATATTGCTCCATGATGACCAGATTCAAGAGCTAAACTCTGAGATTCCGCCTAGCCAAAGACAAGGAAACAAGACGATGCTAACGTTATACAAGGCCTGGGTAATTAATCACCAACACGCAAAACGACTGCATTCTGACAGTGAACTTCACCTGTACGGCAGGGTATGTGAACCTACACATAAAGGTAAAGTTGGCACATTCAGACTTTCTCCTTAATAATATAATTTCATAAAAATATTATTTTGCAAACTCTAAACAGCGAAATCATATTAGCAACAGCCAATGACTATCAAAGTACAACATTGTTCACAGTCAAAACAGTGTTAATGTTGTTTTCAAGTCACACTTGCAGGTTTTTTCAGACCGAATATTCAAAGTGCCGTGGTAAACAATATAGGAAGTTTGTCACAAGTTGTCACTGAATGAATGTGTAAATATGAAAGTAAGTTTACCTTAATGAACGTACCTTTTACGTTTCATTCTTAGCATTCAGTGTCAGCAGTTTAACCACATGTAACTGTTTTTGCTGAAATCATTTCTGCAATCAAAAACGAGTGATGTATATGATTCAGCATAGCGTGAACTTACCTGATATGACATGAGAACTGCAGAGTCCAGCATTTCTATTTAGCTCCTTACTGCATTCAGCTCCCATTTAGCCAAAGACGTCTGCAGTCGGTATTAAAGCAGTGTGTGGTGTATGGTAAAAGTTAAGTTTTCCATTTTTGGACTCGAATTCTGCATCCTACCGCCAAACACGACATCTTTCCCATTGCAGCCTGTCTGTTTTTTGCAACCGGGGACCCATGTGACGTCATGTGTGACGTAGGTTGGTAATTGGTCTATATAATGTTGACTTTACCAGTGAATCAAATGGTCTAATAATGTTCTCAATGACAGATTGCAAGTATAGGCCTATATCTCAAACATAATTCAACATCAGAATTATTATTAGTAGAATAGAACTATTTATAGATACCACTAGACTTACACATAATATTAATGTTGTTTTACCATATGTTTGAGAAAAAACAATAATCTCATATTAAGCTTTATTTTTATTTTTTTTAAATTGCTATTCTAATTTTAGCCAGAATCATGCAGCTCTACTAGACACTAGGTTTTATCTTCTTTCCTCTGCTTCAAGGCCCCCTTCGTCACAGATAACACCCAGCTCTCTATAGCATTCCTCCTCTGAGGATCAAGATATGGCTCCCAGGATTTACACTTATTGAATGCATGTTTTAAAGTGGATGACCACCTTCAGAATGACCTTTTCTTGTAATATGTTTTTGTACCATATTTTCTTAGAAAGCCATATGTTTCTTAATCTGTGGTGTTTCTAGTAAGAAAGAGAAGTTTTTGTATAACTCAATATTTTAGTAATCATAAAAATGATTTTTTTTTTTTTTTTTTTACCACAGGTATTTATTTTTTGTAACTGGTAACATTTGAAAGGTTTTAAGGATCTGTACTTGTTCATAATTGTTTTAAATAAGCTATTATTTTATTAGTAAGCCATTTTACATTATCATTGATCTGTAGCTATAATAAAATATTTTTAAATTGAATAATTAAGATTTATGCATAAGTATTTATGTATATAAACTAAAGCATTTGTTTAGTAAGAAGTGCTTCTCATATGATATGTGAACTCCAAGCAAGAATGACGTCAACTGCAACTTTTCCAACTTTTCACCAAAAGGGTACCACTGGTACCATATTGCAGTAGAGACACAACTCTGATAAAGGTGACCCGTATCATACAGTTCCACTCAGTGGAAACGAGGCATATGAGAGTATCTCAGATCATACAATGGGAAGACGACCTGCATTTTTTTTTTTTTTTTTTTTTTTTGTTAAACCCCTAGTGTTTTTCTAAATTAGATAATAGGATCATTTAATTTGCCAGATAATTTTACTTTTTTTTTACATTTTGCTTGTTTGGCTTTATTGGCAGTATTGTTGGAAGCTTTGCTGAACAATGGAAATTCGACAGGAAACAGTACTGCATACTGTGGGAAGTCATCAAATGGATCAAAGCCTGGATCACAAACCCAACATGAGGCACCAAAGCAAGACTCAGCAGCTGCAGATTTAACAAAAGGATTTACCAAAGAGCAAGCTGAAGGGGTACAAAGGCAAGTATTCTTGTGTATTCATTAATAGGTCCATAACCCAGAAAGTGTCGTAGTCCCTATTGCATTCCTTTAGTCAGCGCTTCTCAGCCAGGATTCAAGAGCCCAAAAGATTGATTGATTAATTGACTCGTTGTCAGATTTATTCAAGAATTGAATAATTTTCGGAACTTAAGCACACCTAAAATAGAACATTCCAAATTTGCTTGCAAGATATAGCATCTCTATACATTAAAATCGTATGTGTGGGTGTGTGTTGGTGTGTGCGTGCGTGCGTGCGTGCGTGTGGGTGTGTGGGTGTGTGTTTTTTTTTTTAATATGCAGTTTATTTTTCAAAAATGCTAGGGCCCCATACCTCTATGTTTTCCAGCAAAATAGTGTGATTATCGCCAGCTGTTAGTTCACCATGTCCTGCATCCCAGTGCATGTTTGCATTTTTTATGTGGATTTAGATTTCTTTAAAAACTAACATTTAATAACTATTCCCATGGACTTGGCCTAAATGCATCAGCTATCTGTGTTGTGATTGGCTGATTAGATATTTGCTTGAGTGGATTATATAAAAAGCTTCAAAACTGTCAAGGTCACTGTTGTAATAAAAGGATGTTTTAGATAAATGATATTAGCTCTGTAAAAATTTAATTTTGCTTTTGTTGTCATTGTTGTTGACTGTAGGATAAAGAAATGTAAGAACTACTATGAGGTACTGGGCATCAGAAAAGATGCCAGTGATGATGAACTAAAAAAAGCCTACAGACAGCTGGCTTTGAAATTCCACCCTGACAAAAACCACGCACCAGGAGCAACAGATGCCTTTAAAAGTAATGCCATCTCTAAAGCACTTATTTTATTCCAGGACTATTTTAAATCGTTGATTAAAATAAAATATAAAACAACAATTGCTATTTGTTTTTGTCTTTCTCCAGAAATTGGAAATGCTTATTCAGTGCTCAGTAACCCAGAAAAGAAGAGGCAGTATGACTTAAGTGGAGGAGAGGAGCCCAGCACCCCAAATTACAGCTCTCATGAAGGATTCGATTTTCACAGAGGCTTTGAATCCGATATTACACCTGAAGATCTCTTTAACATGTTCTTTGGAGGCAGCTTTCCATCATGTAAGCCAATTTGCAACTCATTTATTATTGCTAGACACTTATATTTACCCCAAAGTAGTTGAATAATCTAAACAACATTCACTTTATGCATTTCAATATGAGGGGCTTTATAAGGGATTAAAGGTGCAATATACAGCATTGATTCAACAAGTTAAACTGTTCTCTGATATCAACACTGTAGATATGTGGATTAAGTAAATTCAAAATATCTCCAGAAATGGCCCAGAACCAGAAGGTCCTTATAGACTATATTTGGAATGATAGTGAATATTATTCAAATTTCTGCTTTGATGCAGCTCAAAGTGCCTGCTCTCTCTCTCTCTTTCTCTCTCTCTCAAATTTATATCGAAATACCAGAAAAGGGTTTAAAACTCATATCACCGTTGTTGATTTTTTTTTACGACGATATATATTGATATCAAATTATTGTCCAGCCCTAGTTGTGGATAAAATCTATGCTACAATTTATTATTATTTATGATTAAACTCTGCAAGCAGACTAACAGAGATGTTGTTTATATAAGCTATAATATCAATGAAAGCACAGTCAGGAATTAATGTCAACCACTGCATAAAGAAAGTGTATTTAAAAGTTAGAGTGTATTAACTGTACTTTCACTTCACTTTCACAAAAATGACAGTAAAATTTATTGCACACTGAATCTGAGGTTTTCACATTAAAAAAATAATTTTACCTCACATTGTGTCAATCATATTGACACACTGTCCCCAAAACTTTGCCATAAAAAAAATAAAAAATTTCAATTTGTCACATCCGAAAAATCGATTTAAGAGGCGTTTTGACAGTTTAGAGCCACTGTACAAGCGAAAGGCAAAATACAAAAAGCCATAATTTGAGCCACAGATAACTTTGACAAACACTGTGCACAAAATAAAGACAGAACGTGGCAGATATGTATACTATTTATTGACTGGCGCAGATCTCAACTCTAGCTTTTTAAGGTGCATGTGATTGTGAGTGTGTGTGTGTGAGTGTGAGTGTATGTGTCCATACATTTTACATAAGCCTACTGCTCATGATCTGCTTTAGTCTGGTATGTCAACATGGCTGCCATCTGTTATAATGTCAATAGGTGCTGCCAGTCTCTGTTCAGGGTTTGTAAATGTGTGAAGCATCACATACAATGTATGAAAATTCCACTGATTTCATGAAATAAACCTTGCATTTGGGGATAATCCTTAATAATTTCTACAATGGAGAAGATAGGAGAAGAAAGAATCAGAGTACATACTGCTTGAACTGACTCTGAAATGTTTTGCGTTTTTTCAGAATGGATTAATTAATGTGCATTGGACTCAGTGTGCAAGGTTTGTGTACCTGACAATTTTTTCAGATATGAATATGAAAAAAACATACAAAAATCAGACTTCAGTGTGCAAAAAATTCAGACTTTATTGTGCAAAGACCTTAAAAGCTGAATGTGTTTGTTGAAACATATACAGCAAATTTCACAATAAACACAATAAATTAACAACAGAATAAAAAAAAAAACCTTACGCCTCTGTTGGAGCTGAATATATTTATAATCCGCATATCCTACATTTTGTGACTTGACGTGCATGTGAACAGGTGGCTTCTGCTGCGGCTGTTTGTTTTAGAAAATATGGGAGGAAATGATCTTTGTTATAATCTCACTAGGAAATGTTGCCAATCAAACACTGCCTTTTCACATCACTGTGAGAACTGATTTGAGTGTTTTTTCCACAGCTTTGAGCACTAAAATAGTCAAAAAATGTTTAAACTATTTAAGTGCAGAGGGACATTCGCAAAGTCAGCCCCTGTTGGTTGTCTTGGATGTGAGTCCCAATGGGTGGTTGCATTAACTCCATTCTATCTTGTCTAAAAGTTATAGGCATTGCATTTTTCTTTTTTTTGTTAAGTAATATGTAATTAAGTGATCAATGATTTCATCTGTCTCTTCAAAATATTGTCTCTGTTAAAATAAAATTTCAGCGAATCGACTTAAGAAGATCATTTCACCAACAGAGATCAGTGTGCCAAAATGTTCTGAAGAGTGATTTTCTGCCTCTCTGTGATCGTACTAGGGTGCACTTTTCTTATTGACCTCAGACTTTTGGAGGCCAAACGTTTAATTGCACATGTAGACACCTAGACAAAGGTCTGGATAAGAAGTTTAGAAGCAGCATTTAGGAAGGACTCTAGTCAGAGTTAAGTTAGGACTTGTTTGACAAATATTTATGACTTGACTTTGACTTGAGTTAAATGGCTTAAAATTTGTTTTATTGGTGTTTATATGTTCAGAATAATTGTTCACTTTTGTAGATTGTTTTATTTAGTTAGGTTTCTAGTTCAGACAAGCTAAGTGGCAAACTTAAGTTTCTCTTTGATCCTGGTATGCACAGGTGCCCTTACACAGAGTTACAGCTTCAGAAGATACAACTGCCAAAATGATTTGTTTGGTATATGAAGGGAATATCCAGGTAAACATTTGCTTGTGTGTGTAAAACATTTTTGCCAGACTAATTTTTTACGATTGGGCAATATGAAGCAAAATTGTATTTAAAGTAGTGCTGTCAAAATGTGCGTTAACGCATGCAATTAATTTGAAATAATTAACACGTTAGTAAAATTAACGAAGTTATTATTTTTTTTTTCCTGTTGTGGCCGTGGTGTGTTTAACATGCAAAGAAATATGGATAAGACCAAGAAAGCACTTTTTTAGGGCAAGTTTTAGTATAAAATAATTAATGTCGCATTACCAGGCATTCCAGCGTTTCCTCCAGAGTTTCATGTAATTTCAGGTGTTTCATTTTAAACATTCGACTTCTGTTTTAATGGAATTTGATACCGCATGACGAACAGAAAGAAAAACCTCCGCACAGTGGTCCTTTAAGGTAATCAAAAATCCCTGTTTTTACATGGTAGACTCTTAATAAGAGTATTATCTTAATCATATTAAAAGCGGAGTATTGGTGTCAAGTAAATGAAGTGCCAGATAAAGTCGCAAGCTGTCAAAGTCAGCGCATTCCTCAGCCCTTCAGTATGCGCCCTCCAATGTTTCATTAAGTTTGACGTGTTTCCCGCTTTAACGCAACTTTTGTAAAGTGTCTGCTTCACGTTGTTTTGTCAGAATCCTTGTGAAATACAGTCATACTTTAGCACGCTTCATTCATTCATTTTCTTGGCGGCTTAGTCCCTTTATTAATCCGGGGTCGCCACAGCAGAATGAACCGCCAACTCATCCAGCACGTTTTTACGCAGCGGATGCCCTTCCAGCTGCAACCCAACTGTGGGACACATCCACACGCACACTCATACACTACGGACAATTTAGCGATGAGTTATGAGTAATCCACCTGACAGATTTTTTCTGTCCCGCTCCCACAAAAATATATATTTTCTCCTGCTTCTGCCCGCAAAACATACAAATAGTTTTATTTTCAATGTTTCTTCCAGCTACTGTTATTCGCTTCACTTGCACAAATGGAACATGGAAATACAGTCACAGAATCATTAGAAATAGAAAGGCTAATAATTCAGGCTAATTGCACTAGTGTAAATAGCTGCTAGCCTGCTACCATATTTTCTTACCCTGTTGGCTGAGCATTTGAAAATAAATAAACTTAAAATATTATAATTATTATCATTTAGTTTTTTTTTTCCTGTTGTATACCATTAAAATAAATGTCTCATTAGTTCAAATAATAAATAACATTGACCTTAAAATGGTTTTGAATTATTTTGACTTAAGCTGTGAGTATATAATAGCATATCTTCGCGAGATGGGCAGGGCTTCTGTCTGCCCGGTGACTCTAGCTTTGTTGCTAAATGGCTAACATGGATTTTATTGAGAAAATAACTGTTTATGTGCTTTGTAAAGGTTAAAAACAGCGTTGATTCATTTGGAATAGTGTCTGAGTCCACTAGACCCTTTCAGAGGTGCATCCAACTCTGGGAGCTCATAAACTCCTCCAGAAAGAGAGCTTGTAAACTCCTCCAGAGCCGAGCCCAGTTTGATGAACTTTTGTCGATTTAGGCAGGTTTTCCCCCAGAACACCTACAACAGGCGCTACGTCATAAGCATGCCCCATACAAGAGCAAGCTCCTTATTGGTTAACGTAGTGCGAACTGTGCGTTAAGCGCGTCAAATGCACAAAAGGATCAATTCGCGCCATGCCATAAATTTGATCAATATTTTTATTGTAATTGTTTTAGACAAATTAATTTCTCAAGACAAATAATTTTCCTCTTAGCACTTATTAGAAAATAATTGCTTATTATAAATTATAATCTATAGAAGCTGTTTCATTAGTTTAGGTTTATGCTAAGTGCTCATGCTTACTTCAAACCCACATGCTAAACTATGTTATGGCTGGTGCATTTTGGTACATTTCTCTGTTTTGTAGTGTGCCTAAGTTGTGAAAGCAAAAAAAAGACATTGGTTTCCCAGCAAAAATATGTCAGATGTTTTTGGTTCTAAATGCAAAGACTTTTTATCCTAAGGCAGCCATCTACCTTTGCCAGAAATTGGCAGAAATTTTAAACTGACTAAACACTTACATATATTTCTTGTACAAGTTTAAAGGGCACCTATTATGAAAATCAGCTTTTGTAAGCTGTATGGACAAAACTGTGTGTAGGTATAGTGTGTCCACTGGCATATTGAAGGGATAGAAAAACAATAGCTCTTTTTTTTTTAAATTTCTTGATGTTTAAATAGGATCTAAATCAAGACGTTGGAGTGCGATTTTGTTAATTATTATTATTTTTTCCTCGCCCACTGAATTGATCGACAGCCGAGTATGAACATGTCTCCATAGTAACACGTATAATCATATCTACAAGAAAGGAGGAGCGCAAAACAACCATGATTTCACACATGCATGTTTGTAATAAAGACAGTAAAATTGCTGTAATTTATTACCACAGCTGCATGTGAAATAACTGTTGGGAAAGTTCTTCCTGTAGTATGGGAGATTGGTTCATTCTTGTCTGTGACTGTGCTGCTAATGCCTGAGTCGCAGCAGAAGAAGGACACACACATGGGAATTGTGGGCGGGGAGAACCACCTCATTTGCATTAAAGGCAAAGGCAAAAAAACAGCCTCAGTGTCCTAACAGCTCAAATTTCTAATATACAAAAGGTAATACATAATCTGATGGTTATTTTGAGCTGAACCTTTAGATACACATTCTGTAGACACAAAAGACTTATCTTAAATTTTGAAAAAAAATAAAATGGGTGCCATTTAAAGTAAAATAAAATGCATATTTATTACTATACCACAAATGCACACACACACACTTGTATTCATGGTTTACAGGGACTCTTCTTAAGCGTAATATATTTTAAACAGTAAAAATTACTTCTAATATGGCCCTATCCTAGAAGCCGTGTGGCAGATTTTAAATTGTAGAATGGGGAGAAATCTTTCTTCTGTTGAAAATAAAATAAGATATTTTAATTAAAGCTGGCCACTTATATCTATTGACTTCCCTATTATTTATATTACTTGTTTTTCCCACATTCTAAATCAGTGGTTACAGGTTTTCAGCTTTATTCAAATTATCTTCTTTTGTGTTGAACTGAAGAAAGAAACTTGAGTAAATTGGAGCAGTTTTTCATTTTGGGTGAATTATCTCTTCATTAAAAAACATCAGTTTAAATAGTTTGCTTTATTCATAAATAAACTGGATAGTGTGGATATTAGTTCACCAAATCTCTGTATTCTGGCTTAATCTCTGACTGTGAAGAACAAGTTCAAGTGTTCAATCTTTTAACAAATATCATTTGTGGTAAATGTCATGCAAGATGCAGCTATTTAAAAAAGTGTTGTTGTTTTTTTGTTTTTTTTTACACTGGATTTGTGTTATAGCTGTATCAGATGTCAGGTCATGTTAACCAAAGTTTTTCAGTAAATGTTGTCATTTTGTCATCACTTTGACAAATTTGCGTTCACAATAGTTTTGTAAACGTCTTCTAGTGATAAAAAAGCATTGTAGATAAAAAAAATAATAAAACAGCACACAAGATCATTAATGTGCATGCTGCATTTAACTGCCAACATCTCTTTAGTGAGATTCTAACAATGTTTTTATCTTAAATATCGGAAGGCAGGGAGACAAAAGTATGTAATTACAACAGCGATGTAGTAAATGATACTTAAAGTTGAAATGAAAATGAACTTTTTTAGATGTATATTATTGTAATTACATCTGAGCTGTATGTGGCGACCTTTATATAGAAATCTTTATTTCTATTTCTTTATCTTTATTTCTATAGCACTTGTTACAGTGGAGATTGTGGTATTTAAAATCAGAATGTGTAATTCACATAGCTTCAGTGACATCTTTAAGGAATGTGGATGGTAGCAAATTTAATTCTTTTAAAGAGGTTGCCCTACTGACCTTAATAACATTGAAAACCTAAAGATTAGAGCTGTTTCATAAGACTGGTGTTTGGCCACCCAAAGGAAATAGTTTTACCCTTGCATCTTTGCAAATTTCCCTAAAGTCATTGACCTTATCCAAAGTTTTAACAAATATGCATACCAACAGCTCTCTGTCTGGTACAGTCATAAAAATCTGTAGTAACTCACTCAAATCAGTGAAGGTGATAGTTGACTATTGCCAGGCCTCTTTGCAGTGCAGAAATAATTTTGCATTATTACTTGCATATGGAAAGTGTTTAAACAATGTAAAAAAATAAACAATTTGTTATTAATATGATATCAATTTTAATAAACATTAAAGAATGTTAAACAATACAAAACAAATATTAAATGTTGTTTGGCTGATTAAGGATAAAACTGATGAACATGGAAAACGTTTTTTCTTTCTCTTCTTTCACTTCTTCATTTTAATAGTCTGATTAAGTGTTTAGATAAGAAATATGTGAATTCTTTTTTTTTTCAGCTAATTCACATGAATTCACCAATGGCCGAACATACAGTCATCATACAGAAGAAACCAGAGGAGAAAGAGTGGAAGAGAGGGGAGATGTATGAACATTTTTTTCTGTCTTGTATATTTATACAACAGTTCCATTGCATAGATTATCTGAACAACATTTCCAAGAGTGTGGATATTAGTCTATATTAGTATGCTTGTCTGCATTCACTGTATCCAAGGCTGCTTGTTCAGATATGAATAGAGCCTGTTACAAAGAGTGGGCGTGACTCCATAAAGTCATTTATCATACTGTTGATGAAATGGAAAACCTGCTGGTTGCTGGAATGCTTTGAAGGTTGGTCGCTTGACATTGTGTAGCTGTCACTATGAAGTCCTTGAATTATCAAAACCATGCTACCAATAAATTAGCAGAGAATAATTAGATTCAAACTGCATCCTAAATGCATTATAAAAATAATAAAAAATGGAATAATGGTTAATCTGAGCCTTTAAACAAACTCTACATGCTACATGTTCAAAAGCTCCTTGATTTTGGTGTGTCCAGTTAAACAGGTCTTTCTTTCCTCCCTGATCATCTGCAGCTTCAGCAGTGATAACTTCACCAGAGAAAAGAAAAAATGCATTTCTGCTTGGTGGACCAGCATCTCCACTCAGGGGAACATTCAATGAAGAAAAGAGGGCAGTGGGCATACTCCTGTGTGGGACAAATTTCAAGACACTCCATCTTAGAGTATGAGACAACTCGTTAGGAACAACACTATTTCTGGACCTGTCCACCCAGCCTACCAGCAACTGCTGGTCTGTGCATGAAGGCCATAATTTTCTTTAAACAAAGTTCTGCTAGCTTTTTTAATGCGTGTGACCCATACCTCTCTGATGACTTATTAGGCCACTGCCTTTTTTTTGCCTTTTTTTTAAATGCTAGACAATCAAGCAGTGCCAGATTAACAGCCTGTTTCTGTAGGAAGTTTCATTTGCTTGTCTTTTGAATTGTACCTGAGAATACACCTGAGTTCCGAGGCAAGGATCTGTGGATTATTAGAGCTCTATCCAAAGCAGACCACTGTTCTGAGGGAGCTAAGATGATTGTGCTTTTGAATGGGCACCATTCAGATAGAAACACCACAGGCCTAAAGGCATTTCATTCATTTATTTTCCTTCGGCTTAGTCTATCATTTATCAAGGGTCGAAGCCACAGCGAAGTGAATCATAAACTACTCAGGCATATGTTTTACCCAGCAGATGCCCTTCTAGCCACGGCCCAGTACTGGGAAACACCCATACATTCTCACATTTAAACAAACACTTACTATGGCCAATTTATTTCATCCAATCCACCTATAAGGTGTGTCTCACTCAGAAAACCAACATGAAAATGCAAACTCCACACAGAAATCCCAACTGGCCCAGCCGGGACTCTTTTTGCTGTGAGCTGAAAGTGCTAACCCTAAAGGCATTTAAAAGGAAAATGTCGCACTCACCATAATACTGCAGGGCAGTGGCAGCCAATGACCTCAACTGTATGCTGCAGATGGCTTGTAGATGGAAGAAATCATTCAAAACAGGCAAAAGGAAGTAAAGAAAGAAGATTTAAAAATAATAGCTTCAGGCTAATGAATTAGCCAGACCATCCTACACTTCATGCTTTTGGTCAATACTGTGATTTAATCAGGCTTCAGCATTTTAGAGATGAGTAGTTTCAAGATAACATAGTGTCTGCACAATGTTGAGAGACCAACTCCGAAAGAAAATTTACCATATAAAGCAAAAGCAAAGCAAAAGTAACAGTAACCAATTATTATAGTAATAAGAGTCAAACACTACTATCTACCTCTTTATAGAACTATTGAAGTTGTGAGATTCAGAAAAAATACTGCACAATAATGAATTGTGAAAGTACTGTTTTTATTGTATTTGATGTTGCCACTTGTCTGTTTTTGTTATGCTAGCCAAAATTGTTCCAAACAAAACACATCCAAATGAAAATAGTGGGGTGCTCAGTTCTGGAACGTTTATGTAACAGTAAAGTGATTAATTGGTAATGATCAATCGAGACCCATGTCTTTTGAACTAATTGTTTGAATTGGTGTTATTAGAATGACTCAATGAGAAACGTTAACCTACAGAAAACTCCTAAAATCCCATCTATCAATGCAATGTCTGTCTGAAAATCACAAACAAAGACAAAAAGACTGGCTCAGTTTTCAGCGCTGTTGGCCTATTGTAATTAATCTCTAAATACAGACCAGGGAACCTCAAGTCATTCTAATACCTGGATAAATAGAATCCTGGGTTGTCTTTTATACTGAATTTACTCTTTAAATGACAAAACTAAATGTAACATTGTCTTTTTTTACTTAAGTTAACATAATTTCTGTCACCATTTGACGTTCTTGTATATGTATTCACATGGTACTCAATAGCAAGTGGATTAGCTTAGCAGTACGGAAGACAAGTATAAACCTTGTGTTTCAAGATTTATAGATTAAACCTTGTGTTTTCAAGATTAACAATTCATCTAAAATGTCCATTTTGAATGTTTCTTTCTATTAGTTTTGCTTGGAAGTAACACACAGATCATTACTAATGCTGCTTCTGTTTTTTAGGGTGGGTTTTCCATGTTTATTCAGCTGATGCCAATCGTTGTGCTGGTCTTGGTCTCAATCCTCAGCCAGCTGCTGGTTTCCACACCACCTTACAGCTTATACTCCAGACCGTATGTCATTATGCCTTGTAATTCATCCCTTCCTTACAATACCATATAGAGTATTGTTTTTTTTTTTTTTGTCCTAGTTTTTTGTCGTGTAGCCAGGGATGAGAAGTAACATGCAACTGTGTTAATTATTGTGTGATAATTACATCAGAAAACAAAGTATTCATTTCAATTACATATTTACAAAAAAGGGGAATATTATCAGGATTATGTATTGTCGATGATGGCTGCTAAATTGTTGTTTATTATGTAGGTTTGTACCTAACTCAATACACAATATCCTGGTAAAACATGATATTTTATGTGCTAAACTGTTTGGCAGCATGGTGGGGGGGCTGGAACTGCTAAAAGTGGCAAGTTATCAGTGCAACAAATGCAAACACATTTACAGTGTAAGAGTCCCCTCATGGATTTTGTCCTTATAACAACCTAAAATACGGTTATTTTGGTTCATACAGATACAGTAAGAGTAAGAATCATTTAAAACCAAATAAAATGTGCCTTTGTACAGCAAAGAAAAACAAAATGCTTTTCAGCCACTTGCAGCTTGTTAAAAAATAATTATTGGTGAAACAAATCATATCAAGTGTTAAATGAATTAAGACATTGAAATATGAATGTGTTCAAATCAAATGTAGTCTGCTGCTTGGTCATCATGTAGATGAAAAAAAATCATCAATGCAATGTATGTCTGAAAATCACATTGCTATTTGATCATATGAGACATGATTTTGTACTGTGACTCTAAATACAGTCCAGGGGCCTCGTGTACGAAGACTTGCGTTGAAATCATACTAAAACATTGCGTACGCATAAAGCTGTAAATGTGCGTACGCAGAAAAAAATTCAGATGTATGAAACACTGCGTACGCCGAATCCCACGCATATCCTTTTGTACATCCGAATGAACGTGAAACTGAGCGCAACATGCACAAGCGCAAAAACCCTCCCTGCCTCCGCCCCTGTATGAATATGCTAATGACTCTACTTTGGCAAAACTAAACAAAAAAGCAATGGCAAAAGCAAGCAAAAAGAGAAACTTTGAACAGAATGTGAATTGAAGGTGCTGACCGGAGACAAACGGTGTTATTTGCACGTCTGTCCTTCGGAATTAACAACAAAAGAAAAAAATAGAGTGGCTGATGCGGTTAACACAGTTGGGTCTGAACATCGCACTGTGTGGATTTAAAAAAGAAATAGTGTGATTTATAGGTGTAAAAGGTTATTGGACCCTTAACAGTCTCAGTGGTGCAGCTCGTAAAACGCATGGCAACATGTTTTGACACGTTCGAGCATGAACTCGGTTCGAATCCAGCGGCTGATGAACTTACTCTTTATTTTCCCTGCTACATATCAGATTTTGCCTATATACTCTTTATCATGAGAAAGACAAGTAGGAATCATTAATAAGTCTGTGCATCAAATTTAATTTGCACATTTATTGAATGGAAATGTTTCTGATTCACGCATGCCAGTTCATCCTCAGATGGTGCCTTTATAGCAATGCGTGTGCAGTAGATTGCTCCGATTACATTGGGAAAACTGGCGATCGCTACAAATTGCGCTTTAATGTTTGGATGGTCAACTGTATGGTACGGAAAACTTTTATACTAGACATGCGGATGAACCCTTTTCATACAGCTGAGAAGACACTTTGTAGAGTGCAATTTAACACAACTGCCTCTAGGAGTTGCCAATGGAAATAAAACAGACACGCAAAAAAATGTGCGTACGCCAGCCATAAAGCTGGCGTGGAGCTGTGCACATTCCCACGTTCAGTTCATCGTTAGTAAACCCAAACGTGAGCGATTCCGAGCGTGAAACCTGGCGTACGCAAAGTTTTTGTGCGTACGCAGCGTTGATACATGAGGCCCCAGGTCTTTTCAGGGCAACTCAAGGAGCACATAAGCCTTAATGTTAATAAAAACACTTATTTGGTTTTGTGTTTTTGAATTCTGAATCATGGTAGATCCTTTACCTTGGAGAATGTTTTGCCATTTCTTCTCTCTGTACCTTGCTGTAAACTCAGAAGGTAAAACTGAGAGACTCTCTGCTATCTTCAAAAAGAATTGTTTATTAAGAACTTGCCTGTGCACTGCAGGCAGTGTTTCTTTCTATTTTATAACCATTCAGTAGGCAGTTCTTAAGGGTGTTGACATTACACAGCCTCAGCACTGAACCCTTAACAAATCTGTAAATTGCAATAAAGGAAACAACCCTTGTGATGAGCTTCTAGCAATGATAGTCCCTTCAGATAATAATACTAGATCATTCAAACAACAACTGGTTGTGAGAACTTGTGACAAGTGATATTCTAACACTCACTGGAAGCTGTATTGATTCTAATCAGTCCATTCATGTTTTTCTTAAATGCCCAATGCAGTATAGTTCATAGATGCATGTTATCAACAGATGTAGATCTTGACCAAATTCAAACATTTATAACAACCAAGCAGCAAAGATTAAATTGATATTTCTACAACCTCATGAATACACATCCTCTTTAAGGCTGATTAAGAACTGGCTCTATTTTGCATTCCAGACGCGAAGTCCAAAGTGCAGGGTGCAAAAGCATTAAGGGCGTGTCCGAATTCACTTTTTTTTTTTTTTTTAACGGCGGAAAAATCCGCTCTGCGCCGTGGCGCATGATCTAAGAGGATTAAGCTTATTCTCTAAATGAGTTATATGTGTGTTTTAAGAATAAACCAATCAGAGTCTTATTTTCAATTCCCTTTAAGAGTCAGTTGCGTTGCGCCATAGCGCATTTGCTATTTACATAACAGACTTTGTAAGAGAGGAAACTAAGCGCTTCACTTGCAAGAAAACTGTTAAACAGACCATCTGCAGTGCGAGAATGAGCCTCCTCATTCTTTACTTTCACTTCCACTCTCGTGGATAAGAAAACGTGTTGTACGCACAGACATCCATTAGCCTATACATAATTAATTTTGTTTGTTAAGTGCAAAGATTTTTTCAAAACTATTTCTAAATTCAGAGTTATTTGCAAATACACTTGCTATGTCTCATATGGTCTAAAACTTGACAGGTGGGTAAATCTAAAATTGTTTTTAATAAAATATAAATATGCATATAATAAATAATACTACTACTAATAATAACAACATTATACAAAAGCAAATTGTCATGAATAAACTGAAAAAGCCCCCCGAGATGAAGAAGGCATGAAAGTATGGTTTTTCATATTTATGTAGGCTAGAAAATAATAATTTTTGTAATATTTGAATCCTTTTATTCTTGTTTTATTTTTGTAAAATACTTGCGTGTTGCTGTACATCCTGTGTGTATTAAGCTATGTTTAAGCAAGACGCTCAACTAACGTGCTCTGCACTGGACTTCAGACCTGCTCTCAGCTGGTCTGTTGTGCATTCTATTTTAGTTCCTCAAAATAGCAACGCGCCAGCAATGCGCCAATAGTTAACGAAAACTAACGAAAAAATGAAAACTAAAAATGTAAAATAATTGTCGTTAACTGAAATAAAAATAAAAACTAACTGAAAACTGTATTGTGTACAAATAAAACTTACTGAAACTAACTAGAATTATAGCAAAAACGGTTCTCCTCGAGTCATCTTCTCTGTTGCTCCCGCGACAAAAACAAGTGGACATGACAGCAGCACGGTGACAGCATTAAATACAGAGACCTAAAACTATTACTTTAACACATTTGTGCCCAATAATGGGTTTTATTTCTGTAGCGCGATCGCGGTGAACCAATAATACTGCGCATGCGTGATTCTTTGAACCAAAGCCTGCTGTATGACTGAACTGAACTTAGAACAACTGCAGCGCAGGTAAACCGAGGGCTTAAATGAGAGGATCTGGTGAAAAACGTAAGTTTATTTCATAACAGACAATCGTAATGAAATTTAAATAAGTGAAGCATAATTCAGTTGGGTTTACAGTTTGTTAAACTTTACTCTAAAACATTTTTCAGATCATGATGATGTTTTAACTGACTGAAATTACTATTGCTGACTACATAATGTTGAGTCCTAACATCTGCGTTAGAAATCTGAATTGCCCATCACCAGGCCCGGATTAATAATTCAGAGGCCCCTGGGCACAATGTCTTGTAGGCCCTCTATAGCCGCACCCCATTGTTTAATTAAAAATAATATTGATATAATATTTGTTAAATAAAATTAATCTATAATGTATTGGCCACATTTTTTAAATAAATGATATACAGTACATATATTTCTAGTCTACAGAGATTTAACTTATTTTTAAAGCATTTAAAGCACACTTTGAAAAAAATACTAATACAACTAAGGGAAGTTAATGGATTTTAATATACTTGTTCAAGTTCACTGAAGCAGTACTAAAATTTATATTTAAGGGTATTTTTAATGTATAACTTCTACAAACGTATAATGCATATGATTTGGATAACACCTCTCCAATCCAGTTCTAGGATTCTGAGTCCCCCATAATACACACACTTATTAATTTTTCCTACTTGTCTTCCTCGTAATGGAGAATATGTGCATTATGTGTCCATAATGCCCATTGGTTAATCCGGCCCTGCCCATCACTACGTCTAAACTCACAAGCAGCCTTGCACACATATTGTATTTAGGGCTGCTTTCTTGTAAGCTGTTGTATTTGAATTTGAGGATGGGTAGATGATAGTGTTCATGTATCCTCTGAAAACATGTTTCAAAAAAATGTATGACTGCGTTTTTAACAATACAATATTTATCCTGTTGATGTTGAATCTTGTACCTTACAAATATCTTCATTTAGAAAAAAAAAACTGAAACTAATACTGAAACTAATAAACACTAAACTAAAGACATTTAAAATATAGAAACTAATAAAAACTAGGAAATCTGCCTCTAAAACTAATAAAAACTAACTGAATTTGAAAACAAAAAGTCAGAACAAAATAGATACTAAAACTAATGAAAAATCCAAAACTATTATAACCTTGCAATGCGCCTTAATGCATCTCCTTTTTTAGACAAGAACGCCTATGCATTGAGTGCAACATGAGCGGAAATGCATTTGCTATTTAAACAGCGTGGTGCAAAATGTCAAAATGACTCTTGTACTGGCCAAGTATATATTCTCTTAATCACAAGCATATTAATCTTGGTCATTAACAACCACTATTCTAGGTGGTAGAACTCTACTCTTCTCACTGTTGTGGGGTGTGGAGACTGTTGTCTATGTGCTTGTATTGTCCATATGTGAGAAAATCAAAGTATTTGAAGTTTCTCACAAAAAGTAATGGTTGTAATCTTTTCTCCTTTGCATCCAGCTCCACAGGACAAACCGTTAAGAGACAAACAGAGAATCTGCATGTGGACTATTTTGTCACCACAGATTTCAAATCCGAATATAAGGGCTCAGCTTTGCTAAAGATTGAGAAGAGCGTGGAGGAGGATTACGTTTCCAATGTGCGCAACAACTGCTGGAAGGAGAGGCAGACAAGTATGTGCAGTTATTCATAATTACCATTTTATTGCTCCATTAGGGGTTAGTTCATCTGTATTAATGCAAATGTAATATTTTGAACATCATGTCACCCCCTTCAGAAACAGACTTGCTGTATGCTGCAAAGGTCTACAGAGATGAAAGACTACAGCGAAAGGCTGAGCTCATGACCATGGAGAACTGCAAAGAGCTGGACCGATTAAATGACCTGTTCCGTGGAGGATAAACCACAAATTGAGACTAATGGACCCTTAAGACAATAGGACATCTTATGTATAAATGTATTATGTGTTGTTTATTTTTTGAACATCTTTATGTTAAAAGTCAATCATCTTTTGTTGCAATATGCATTGCTTCTTAGTAACAGTGAATCGTAAAAAGTTCCATCACTCCATTTCTATAATTTATATCTCTTTAATTGACTTAAACTGTGAAACTCTACATGTAGATGTTTTACACTTTCTTTAAACCAATTCTATTTTCTTCAGAGTTTAACTTAAGTAATTACTCCATGTCAGTGCTCTCTTGAAAGGTTTTTAGCAATTCTAATAATTTTTTTTTTTAATCTGAAACAGATCAGATCAAATATACATTTTTAAGTGGAGGACTACTCTGTTTTTTTCTAGAATATGATTAATAACTTCACCAATCATTTTTGTCCATCCATTGAAGTTTCACGAGTCAGAATATTTAATATGAATCAAGTGTATCAGGCCAAATAAGGCAATGAAACACTTGTTTAAAAATAGAGCTCTCCAAAATAGTGTAAATGGCAGCCCTATAGTGAATGCTTGATGTATGAGATCAAATCAGCTGTGGATAAATTTTATGGCTTTTTTTTTTTTTTTTTTTTGATGTTATAATTTTTGGTTTTGAAGGCTTTCTGTGGATGTACAGAAATAATGACAGAATATTAAGAAATAAGTCTATTAAGTTCTGCAGATGATATTACATGATGGGGAGTAAATGAATACATGCTTTAATTTCTGGCTAAAGAATGTTAAAAGAATAAACTGATATTTGATATTTCTGGACACAAGTACTTCTCAAATGTGTTCTAATATGTTATTTTAATTAAGTGGTACTTTAAAATTGTTCTTAACCATACAATGCATTTGGGTAAAAATAATTGTCTAATTTTTGCATTGTGTATGTATATACTGTATACTTTTAAAGTGAAAGGGGTCTGCCAGTACCCCTTTAACAGGTCGAATTTACTTACGAATTTAGCAGCACCTACTTGATCCACACAGTGTTAGACTCTGGGAAGTGGAAAAGCATCAGGTTAAGAGATCTTATTTATCTTTCGATAATTTGTACACAAAGTCGATATGTATTATCAGATTTTTTAAACCAATAAGCAGGGTGAATTCCAACTAGAATAAGATGGTTTTGCTAAATTATTATCAAGCAAATACTGAACCTCAGCCTCTAACGCCTGTTGCTTTACCAGTGGCCCTCAATAAAAACGCTGACGAACAGGTGTTGCGGCACCAACATCCACGTTATGTTCGATCAGATGGGTGCGAGATGGAACATCACCAAACAAATCTGGGAATTTGTGTACCAGCTTTATCAATTCTCCCTCTTGAGAAATAGTTAGATGGCTCATTAAATTCTCTAAAAAGAGTCTCTAAATTGGATAACATCTGTTACAGCACACAATCGGAGCACCAACTTTCTCCATCTTCGGCACAATTTCATCTGTCCGAGAAACAGTTAATATAGCAGATGTTTTACAATCAGTCTGATCACGGGAAAAATATGGTTTTAATAAATTTACATGGCACAGCTGCTCAGACTACTTTCGATCTGGAGTTGAAATAAAATTATTTAACTCAGACATGCGGCAAGTAACTATATAAGGCCCTGAAAATTTTGCTCGGAAAGGCGAAGCAGGCAAAGGCAACAGCGCCAGCACCTGATCCCCTGGAGAGAACTCACGCACATTAGAATTATGATCAAATAACTGCTTCACTTTTTCCTGTTTCTTCTCTGAATTCTCTCAAACCGTCTGACCCGCAAGAACCAATCTCCTCCTAAACCCATTAACGTAGTCCAAAAGACTTCTCGGCAGCTTCTCCCCCTTTAAACAATCTTTTAAAAGTGCTAACGGGCCCTGAATTTTATGTGCAAATACCAAATAATTTGGGCTGAAGCCCAAACTAGACTGGATTACCTCTCTAGCTGCCAAAAGGAGCCACGACAATCCCTCCTCTCAGTCGCGGTTCAATTCAGTGCAGTATGCGCGCAGAAAACTCTTTTATAACTGATGGAAACCCTCAAGCGCGCCCTGACTTTGGGGATGGTGCGCACTCGACTGCTGATGACGCACTCGCAGTTGCTTTAAGATCTCAACAAACATTTTAGAGAAAAAATTTGTTCCTTGATCACTTTAAATGAATCGCGGAATACCAAAGATGGCAATAAACTGGGAGAAAGCTTTAACTATTTTTTTACGCAACGGAAACGCAACAGAATAACAAGAATTTTGACACATAAAGGTCAATATAATTTTGCTTCCTGATCTTGAAGGATGCAAAGGTCCCACACAGTCAATCAATAAATGCTCAAAAGGCTGCCCCATCACTGGTATGGGACACAACGGAGCAGATTTAAGTGACTGGTTAAGTAAGGTTGGGCTTTCCTGTCATTTGGCATACATGGCACGTTTTAATGAATATAGAGACAACCTTCTTTAACAAAGGCCAATAAAAAAATGTCACAGTATTCGTTTATACGTTAACACCTAAATGTCCTGCAACAGTACTATGTGCTACTTCTAGAACAGCCGTGCGCATTTTAGCGGACACCACAATCTGACTAGCTCACCCCCACAAATATCACTTGGTGATAACTTGGTGCCTGTTAATTTATAATTATCAACAATGACCCACAGCTGTTGCTGCGAACCCAAATTTTAAGGTGCATTGGGTGATTGTCTTCAGAAACATTTTTTGTTGTGCTGGTTGAAAGTCTCTTCACAGTCCAATAGTAAATGATCTGAATGTGTTTATTTGTATTTTTATATTCTGGGTAAAGCATAAAACTAAAAAATGTTCATCCAATTAAATAGAGTCGGACCGTCATCTCCCATAATTCTGATAAGCAGGTCAGACTGTCTGTCAACAAATGTAGGTTCGGACTTCTGCGCATCTGTTCACACAGATCTGCCATTAGCGTGTGCCCATCTGCATCACAAACACATGTGCGCGAGCGAGCTGCAGGCCGCTTGCTGATGCCGAGTCGGAGCCGGAGGCGCCGAAGGACAGCCGAGCTCGGGCCGATTACTGTAAAGCTAGGCGCGAGTATAATTCCCCCTTAAAGCGGCCGCACGGTCACCGGGAGAAATCAAATACTGAATTGAAACTTTTAAAAACCTGAATCAATATTGGAGTTACTTTAGCACGCTGGAGGAAGGAAGACACCATGGCTGAAGTATTACTGTTAGACAGGTAATGTTCTGTTTTTAAACTATTTTAGTCAGGCTAAGCTTATGTTATGCTTGTGTTAGCCAAGCATGTTCTGTTATGAATGACTTAAATGCACAGACGTGTTGTTTAGCGGTTAGCATTTTGGCAGATCACCTACTGCACCTTTTACTTCTCCTCCGATGGAGAACTACCAAAACTTCCAACAAAATCATCCCAAAGAATAAACTTACACAAATACAGTACTAATAAATACCTACAACTTAGATCTAAACTTCGGACATGAGCATTTGGCTCATAATCAAACAGGCTACATTTTCCACTAACTAAACTTACCTAACTCTTCTGTGTTTTCCCGAGAGTCAAGCCTCTTTAGGCAGCTGATACCGGTGGTGCACAGCTGAATTGTCGGTCTAGAAATGCAACCACGGCCGTGCACTTAACCCAGGAAAACACCAAAATTGAAAATTAAAAAAAAGCAATAACCTATCCGGGGATTACCAAAAAAATATTTTGAGCTGAACTTTCCTGTCCGAAGCCAAACAAATGCTCTGCCTAAACACACACCTGATTCTGCTTAAAGAGCCCATATTATATATGAAATAGGGTCATATTTTGGTTGTAAGGGTCTCCAACAACAGTCTAATATGCATGCAAGGTCAAAAAACACTTTCATTATCTTGTAATCTGCATTTATTTTTATCTAATTATCCCACGACTCCCATATGAATCGTTCAGTGATTCATTTGTTCCCAAACCCCTCCTTAGCGCGAAGCTAATCTGCGCTGATTAGACCGATGACAGTCTGTTGCGATTGTTCGACACTGGCTGCCTTCAGCACAAGACAGAGTGGAATGCGCAGCAGCTAATAAACAATATAAAATTAGTCACAGTGCATACACGCTTTATAGTGTAAGGCGTGGATTTTGGCTGCCAGTGGGTGAATGTAAATACAGACGATGGACTTGAAAATACAAACGACGAACTATTTTATTGAGCAAAAACTCCAGGAACTGGCGAGGAGATCTCCTAGCTTGTCACACTCTGCTCTCTTCACACACACACACACACACACACACACACATTGCCCACCTCGGATGAGGACACAGCGCGCAGGAGGACACTGCACACACATACACGCATTACCCTCCTCCACGGAGGTCCATAAACAAAGCAGCTTCTGTTTTAACATGATATGAGAATATAGATCACAACTAAATGCATTTGCAAGCTAGAGTAAATGAGGCAACAACTTTAAATCGCACTTACTTACACTTGAGAAATGGAGGAAGAAACCGATCCATGTTCTGACAAAGTCCATCAGTAGTCTTTACTGATCCTTCCTTTAACAAACGGTCTATAAAGTATTCTTTGTAGCATGTAGTTTCCAGAAGCACTCAAACTGCTCAAGACTGGGCTAATGCTGAGGTTTCATCTTTGGGTAGAGACTCAATAATATCCATCTGCACATTGCGAGTTCATTTGACAGGCGTGTTTGTGGTTGTGTGTGTGGCTTTTTCTGTGTTAGAGGGCGGGGCCGAAGGTTTCAAATCTCTCGGGTTTGCGCATGCAACTACTTGGTTTCGTTGTCATGTCATATCGAAATACCTAATGACTCGTTATCAAGACGACTCTTTTATAGATGAATCAACAGTTTTAAACACTGTAAACTTACACATTTAAGCCTTAGGTGGATATTTCACTTCACTTAGAGCCGTGTTACACACTACATGGAAGAGCATTTTCAAAAACCCCTATGTGGTGGGGAAGGCATGATCGAACACCCAGAAAGGGGGGAGAGCAAGCGGAGACACCGGTGGCTGGTCAGTGGTCTAATCATAAATAATTATTAACACCTGTATTTTCTGTAGTGATTGGGCCGGAGAGACACCTCCATAAGGGGAGAAGAAGGAGAACCTGTCCACCTGCAGACTCGACACACACATACCCACACAGAACATTAAAATAAAAAGTTTGTGCTTACCTGATATCGCCGACCCTGCCTTCTTCCCTCAAAACGAACATTATTACACCCTAATATGGGCTCTTTAACAAATACTGGTCTGCATGCCTCTTAATAAAACAAGCCCCCATATGTTACAACCGGTTCAAAGTTGCAACATTAGAGAGACAATATGGACCAGGTATATTGAAAAGAGAAATGGTTTATTATTATTAGTTAAACATAACTAACAAAAATATTTAAAGCAATCAAAGTCAGTATAAATGGAAGTCAGTAGTGAAAAGCATGTGTATGGTAGTTAACTGAGCTCATGATCCAAAACAGACTAAAATAAATCAAAACCACCAGGCAGGTACCTCCATCTAATTGAGCTCTCCCTCAAAAAGAATATTGGTTTCTTTATAGGAAACACATAATTGGACTCAGGTGAGATGACCCACCCACCAATCTGCAATCATGCAGGCTCTGTAAATCACAAAACACAAACAACAAACAGGTCCCACATGGGACCCAACAAGTGAAAACATTTCACATTCAATTTGGAATTTCATCAATCCTACATAGCAGTATGAATATTTTTCTCTTTAAACTGAAATAATTTGAACGTTTTTCTACAATTAAGTTCAAATTACTAAACTTT